ATGCAAGAAAGCTTATTTTTTGTCAGTCAGGAGTTCTTCAACTCAACACAAATGGGCTATGAAGGCACATATATTGGATTTTACTCAGTCAAGGATAACGTGCATTTATAGTACAGGAAATCTCTAAGTAAAAGCTAACCAGAAAAAGGAAGTCCTGAAGTGTATACTTAGCACTGCAGATAGAACTACATAATCCTAAGAAACATTACCATGAAAAGAGAATTTTCTAGCATGTTTTCCTTTATAAAGGTATAATTTTACATGCACCTTCTCTCAAATAAAGTCCTGACACTGGAAGGACATCAAGTCCAATACCCTGGTCCAATATGTATTTTAAACCGTTGCTTTATAGGAGGTAAAAGCTGCAGTTACCTAATGTTAATCCTTGAGTTAGAATGATAGTGTCAATCTGGTTGGTGGACAAATGTGTCTCATCATTAGTCAGTGCCCACCAATGTTCACTTCAGATTTAGGGAGAGGTTCCAAGGAAACTGCTGTATTCAGCAAAAAGATACAACTGTTATAAATACATATCACACACACCAGCAAGGAAAGAAAGCTCCTTGCCTGTTCTGCAGTTCCAAGAGAAAAGTTGAGCAGAGCACGGTGTTTTGGCACCCATACTGAACATGGGAGGATACCCAGAAAGAAAAGAAAGAGCATTTACAGAACACCTTTCATACCCTGACTATAACTCTGCAAAGGTCTGAGCTAGATACTGATACACAGTGATTGTAGAGGCAAACACAGAAGTCATTATGACCTCAGAAACAGCTCTGCCCAATTCTAGATGTTGGAACTGGTTTCACTTGAAAGAGTGAATTCTAGCCAAGGCACCAAAGTTATCCATACTCCTTCTGGGAAATGAAGAGTGCCATAGCATCTTTAATTTCCACTTGCACAACCACAAGGGAACTGGCCCCAATAGCCTACGTAAAAGACACCACTTCCAACAATGCACAAGCCTCTAATGCTATTTTGTAGTGCCAACATTGGGCATAAGCCTAAAACTCTGCCTAGAAGTGAGAATGCTTCCACATAAGCCACATCCTTGGCAGTACCTTACTAACAGCTACTTAATCATAAACCATTTCAACATGCTTTTATTGGGCTTATGTTCTCCTTCTATTGATTTGGTTGATTTCTGTTGATTTCCTGTTCTCCTTCTGCTGGTCACAAGCGCACCTTCGTAATAACAGAATGTTCTTTTTAGGGGTGAATTATCTCAACGCCAACCAATAAAGAGTCTTCCGTATTTGGAGAGCCTTAAAAAATAAGTAATAAGCAAATAAAGTAAGTGCACAATAATGCAGGGTCATTTATCTCGGGGAATATATACTATGATATGGATGGGCAGGTGAATGTCTGACAGCTGGATCCCAAAGCAAGAGCAAACAGGGCATGTTTTTGCTCACACTTAAATCAGTGAGAACTGGGGCATAAATGGGAACAAAAAGGGACATACTTTTATGACACAAAGTTATAGCATGCAACCTCTAAAATGAACATTTTCCTTAAATGTATCAATATAAATTTGATTTGCTCATAAAATCCCAACAAGTACTGCGCAAACTCAAATGTTAGGAGAATCGTATAAAACATAGAACCAATTCTTATAATTCTGTTGGAAACAGCACAAAAGACTCAGCGGTATGCACATAGAAAGCTATCTGTAAACAAATGCATGTAGGAGTCACAGTAAAGATGAGAATTCAAACACCATTTTCCTTCAGGATGAGATAGTGGCAATAAGAGGCAAAGGCAAACAAAACAGGCTAAGGGCTGGAATCAATTGAAAGGAGAAGTAGGCGTTGCCGGGTCTTTGGTTAAATTTGAAATGTAGTATAACTTAGTCAAATAACGTGAATAGGAGGTCTTCCTCAGAGTGGGCTGAGAAGTACACTCTGGAACTGCTTTCTGTTTAAAATGTTTAAGTAAATTCTGCTCATTCTATGATGTACACCCAAAACCAAGAAGCTGTTTCCAGTATTACCACAATATACTTGTAATCCTTCTATCCGACAATATTTTAGAGGCTGGATTAGACTAGATTACACTTTGAGAGCTGCTGGAACCAAACCAAAACGTCTGCTGGACTTCCTGCCCAACTTAATCCCTCATAAATAAACTTGACAGACCTGCATACACCAAGTTAATAAAGTACAACATGCTTTTCTTCTGACACACTGTGGTCAATAACACCGGGACTGTTATGAAATCTTAGTGGTGGAGAAAGGACACACAATACAGTGCAAAAAGCCACCTTGTCCAGAAGGAGATGCAGATAAGACTCCTTACAACTTCATTTAGGCTCTCTTCTTCCCTCCTTCTCTTAGATCTACTTTTCCTGAAAATTGGTTCCTCACTTATGTAAATGTCATGAAGAGAAGAGAAAAGATCCAAAATTTGGATGAGTCAGAGGTGACATCACTAAGAGAAACTCCACCACAGCAGGACTATGCCACCGAGTGCTACTCTGCTACTACACAGTAGTTCATAGGCTATGGAACAGAGCTTGGCAAACAGGCCCACACACTTCAAAGACTAACCTGTACTTGCTTACATTCAGCATCCAGCAATTCGTCAAAGTTACTGAACAATACAAACAGCAGAATCTGATAGAAGTGGAGACAGATAGGAAAAAAAGATACTGATCACTCCTTTAGGACCATCAATTCTTTCCTACAATACAAATAAGGATTTCTCTGTCTTTTTATAGTAGCATTTTTGAAAAACTGAAATTGATGCAAATGCTTTTGGCTAGTATGATGTCATCTATTCAAAACAGTAGGCCCCGCCCCTTCACAAATTTGGATTCGCTCGAATTAAAGCAATTGTATGAAACATATTTTTCTAAACTACAACAAGCAACATATCCAAAATAGTGCACCCTTTTCCATCATCCATTCTAAATAACACTTTTCTGTTTGACTTTCATTTCCCTCTGAGTGAACAAGATTCATGGCTGGGGTCTTTTCCCCTTCAGCAGTGTGGTGTACTTAAGCTTTGGTTCGCTTTTCAACTTCTACTGTACTGCACCTTCTTGGCTGTTTCAAAACACCAGCTCTCAGCTGTGACATTGATCTAATTATTCTACAGAAGACAAATAGGCCCTTGAGCTATGTCCACAGGTAACTCCAAGTAAATCGAGGCCTATCTAAACAGGGAAATTGCCAGTGCACAGGAACCAATACTGAGCATGGTTTCAGTTAAGGACAAGAATAGTTTAACAGCCAGGATATGGAAACCCTAAACTAACTCACAGTTGTTTCACTATCCATAGGTGGAGCAACCATGTTATTAGAAACCATTTTTTAAATGGATTTTTGGAAACTGTTCCAGATAATCTACACTTTCCTGGCAGAGTCAAAGACTAAGGGCGAAATTCTGCCCTTACTTGTTTCTGTGTAAACCTGAAATTGAAACATCCTATTATATGCAAGAGCAGCACTTGGTCTGAAGTCCTGTTCTCTGTATTAAATAATTGTAATGAGAGTTCAGACTAGTACAAGCCATTTTACAGCAAGGAGGTGAAGTGGCAGAAGTTTAGCTTGGCAAGTTTAATAATCTGTCCTCAATTTTTATGTTGCGTCTTATGAAAAAAAAAATACTGAATTTGTGACAGAGCTACAACACATAAGCAAAAAAAGCCACATAAATATTATTGAACTTACAGTAATATAGTCCAGTTTTAAATACTGTAAGTCTGTCATACAATACTTTTTTATGTCAATGACTTAGAGACTTGTGAATGAAGTATGAATGAATATATAAATTATGAGCACAAGCCCTGAAAGCCAATTCTTCCCCAGGAGAAAAGTAGAAAAGAAGAGCACAAAGCAAGAAATAAACATCCAAATCAGGCAAATAAAAGAAGAGGGTTTAGAGAAAAAAATTCCCAAAAAACAAAATAACCGCCTTGAACTATATCTCCAACTGCACAATCCAGACAGCTCCGTTACAACAGAAGTACTATGATAAGAGTAAATAAACAACAGAAGAAACGGAAGTCTGGCTAAAAAGTATTTAAAAATATCTGCAAAAGAAAAAAATGGATGATGGATGATTTGAACAAAAACCAAAAGTTCTATGTAACGAATAATATACAATCAAATTATGACATGCAATATATATAATTCTCTGTAGAGAGGAAATGAATAAGGTTTACAAATTAGTTTGATAAGCAATATGCTAGATGCCTGATATGTCTGTAACCATTAACAATGACTTCCAAAGGAGTCTCATTGCTTCTATAATGGTAGTATATACAAGTCATAATATAACTGCAGTAAGCCAGGCAGAATTTTACGTTAGAATAATAATGCCATACATGACTTATTCAGCTGTTTGTATATTTAAAGCACTTTGCAAACATTATTCAACTATTACCTTCAACAGCTTCATAAACTATAGCTATATTATCTTTCCTTCCACAGAGGTGCAAACAGATGTTAAGTCACTTGCCCAAGGCCACCAACAAACAATGAAAGAGCTTAATTAAAACTTCCCAGTTCCCAGTTCTGTACCTACACCACAGGGCCATGCTTTTTCAAACTGTAAATGAAGCACCTGATTTTAATAAACCAATTTTAAAATACTATTATTCAGAAGCAGTTCTCTATCCACATTTTATGTACAGGCACAAATGATATCACTTATCTCTCTAATTACCTAATATCCTTGTGCAATCATGCAAGGACATGTGTAAATTTTACTAATTGCATTCCTGCATAGTTCTGTTTATAAAAACTATGCTGGCAATTAGGGATTGTTTGTTCTTACAAAGTTAAGGTTGCAAACATGGGGAGAATGGCAGAGATTAATTCCAAAATCATGCCTCTGTTAATTTTATTGTATCTCTGTTTACGGAAAAATTAAAGGCTCTCCATACTAGAGAAAATGAAGGTAAACCATAAAGCCTCTTAATCAGAAACTGAGATGGGTACTCTAAAAGAGCTATGGGCATGCACCACAGATTCTGATGAAACAGAATAACCTACCTCCTTAAAGTTATCAAAGGCAGATAAAATGATTTCATGTCCTCCTCTGACAAGACAAACAGCTGCTAACAGTTCTAAGACGAGGGCTTTTGTTCTGTTAGGAAAGGAAACACAATAATCAATTACAAAAATGTGATGAATCAGCTTCTCCCTCATTTACAAGATGGGTGGGATGCATTTATTTACGCTCAGAATATTTTTAATTTGTAACTACTGCAATAACCCGATCCTGCAGGCAGAAAGATGTCAAGTATATTCAGATCAAAGAAATGAACCTCTTAGGATCATGTACTTCAAGTCTCCATCTTTGCAGTTTTTCTTATTTAAATGCTTACCAATAACAAATTGCAAATCATGGTTCTGAAATTTCAAGGAAATTGATATCCATTATATAGATCTGATGATATAGCTGATTATACCAGTCTCCCATAATTTCTATTCCAGGAGATGATACTTTTGTAGACATTTTAAAAGGAATTGGTTTGTCAAATTAGGGTATATCATTCGCAGAAATCATTGGTTGGAATTTTTTTCAACACGATGGAGCTTCACTTGCATAGTACATGCATTTCATATCCTAAATTTAACTAAAAGAAGAGAAGGGGAGCCATAGCTTCCATGAGAAAAACATTTCAAAGCCTTTTATTCTACATAACAACAACAAAATCCCACTGCTTTGGTCAAGGTACTGTCACATTTCATTCAGTTTTACCTTTTATAAACTAAAATAATGTTTCAAGTTTGGTTTCAATAGACAGGCAATTAATCTCCAGAATCTCCAATTTCTGAGGATCCAACTCATGGTAACTGGGTATAGGAAGAGCATATTTGGGAAGAAGCAGTGAATGCAATGATATGGAGGAGTGGGGTATAGTGTTCAGGGCCCAACTAAGAATAAATGCCTATTGTGCCAGGCACATTACAAACATGGAATAAGGGACAGCTACTGTCTTAAGGGGCATTTATATACATACATTTCCATCCCACAATGTATCACAGATCTGCTGCTTCTGAGCTGAGGTGAACTGCACTGCACCGCAAGCAATTGTATAAGTAGCAAAATGTGCATCAACGTGCACAAAATGGCAGCAGAGCGCTTTTGAACTAAAGCGCCTCTGACGTGTTTTAGTTCAAAACCATACCACCATCATTTTCTCAGCACTAATGTGCACTTCACTGCTTATGCAACGGCTTGTGCTGCAGCGCCAGATGCTTTTCAAAGCGCCTGCTGCTGCAGTGCATGCATGTGTACAAATGCCCAAAGAGTTTACCACCTAAGAACCTTTCCATTTAAGTAGTAATGATGCTCACTTACAAATAATTCACACAATTCTAACAGTCTACAGTCTTTCAGTTCAAGAAACCTCAGATGAAATTCTGGAACTGCTGATTTCAATGTCACATTGCCCGTTGACTTCAACAGTGTCAGCATTTCACCCCTGGCTGTAGTATAACTACCCTAGATTAAAAGCCCACAATACTTTACCATGCACAAACGAGCTACAGCTTTACTAGATTATTTTAGCACAGTAACTTATCAGTAATTACTACAATAAGCACATCTAGTTCCAACATGCTTTTTAGTGCTTATATATTGAAGGGTTAATTAAATTTGTTTTTACTGGTGCAAAAAAATCCCCATATGTAAAAGTGTCTTCAAAAACTATCACAAATGCAGTGTATTCTGTATGTATTTACCTCTCAAATCCCCCAGAGAAAGTATACCTTACCTGGGATTCTTGTTGTTCAGACTCAGTGCAATTTCATTAACAGCATGTGGATGTGACATGACCATATTGAAACCATACTGAAATGGGAAGGAGAAACTCTGTTTCAGTTTTCAAACTTCAATTATGATTTAAAAAATTCCAGTAAATTATAAATCTATGACCAGATCTGGCAGTCTTCCTTAGCATACTATGTCAAACAAAACTTTGTCAAATTTACAGCATCAGTCAGCACATTTAATATGATACATACCAACTATGCTTCCCCCAGAAGTGTGAAAAATACTCTTGGTTTGGCTGCAAGTCAGCTAACAAACACAGAATCTCCCAAACTTTGTTATATCACTGCCATTCCCTCTTCCCTTTCTTTTCCTTCTGTTTTCCCCTCTTATTTTGAATGTTGTTTTCCATCTGTGTCATTTTCTCTTCACAGCGATATTTCCATTCAAATATACAGAATCTATATTCTAATGTACACACACCTCTACATGATGACAAACAGATCATTAGCCACACCTTTCCTATTAGAGATGTATGACACTAGACCAATTTATACCAGCTGAGGATTTCTATTACATGGATATAAATCTGGAATAACTTCATTGACTTCAAATACTCCAGTAAATCCCATTGACATTAATATAATCAAAAACAGGATTTAGCCATGTGTGCTGGAAACAGGCTGCACATGGCAAAACAAAGAGGATGCTCATGAGAAGCTCTGTTTTGGAAGCACATAACTGTAAATGGTCATTATTTTCATGAAAATCCTGAATCTCTGAAGCCACTAGAATGTGCTGTATGACCACAACATCATACTGAAGAAATTCTGCAATGAAGATGAATGTTAGTCTAGCTTACTTTTTCCTTTGCAATTTTGTTATTGCCTTGTTGTAAGCACATATAACATTTCACACTATTTTCCATTTGCATAAGATTCTACCTCTTCTATATAATCCCCATGAAACTTCCCATATTTTAAGTCTACATATTGGGCCAAATTCTAATCTGTTATAGGAATCTTGCCCCATTAATGGGAACTACACCATGTAACTGAGTACAGAATTTGGCCTAGTCTGTCAGTATTGTTAAAAAGAACTGTCGAAAATCAAATACATTCTATATGGTTGATAAACAATGACAATAACATGCAGAATGTGCTGCCTAATTAAATGAGAATTCAGCTTTTAGAACTTGTATATCTTAAAAATGTATACCTACCTTCTCCTCCCTCCCCAGTAAATTAGTTATCTAGTAATTTAATTAGGTGATAAAAATAATAGAAAGACAAGCACCTGGTAATTCATAATGGCACGTAAACACATGATGCAGACATGAACATCGTCTTTTTTACTCACTAATCTTGAATTTTTTAGTGTTCTTCTGCTAGGCAAGGTATTATACCTGCAAAGAAAAGAACAGAATTTCAACAGTTGCATAGCTCAACTTTTTAGGTAGTAAAAGCATGGAAGTAAGAATTTTTCTCCATCATTTCCTACTCTAGTGCAATCTACAATCAACTGACTATAAACATTCCATGCAAGGGGGGTGAGGAAGCACAGAAACCTCAGCTTTACATTTTAAACCTTATATCATATGTTGCTTATATAGCACATTCTCCTCAGCTGCTTGCACGGGAGATTGCAATGAAGTTCATCTGACATTATATGATACTTTTTGATGCAACAGTAGTACATTAAGAGACTTATTTTCATCACATCTTAATGTAAGAAATTCTATTGACTTCAGTGGGACTTCTCAGGAAGAGATGGAAGGAAAGTTCACTTGAGCAAGGGCTGGAAAATCAGTTTTCTAAATGAGAACTCCTGTGGCTCAAATATTGCTGCTCTTATTAAGTGTCTATTATACACCTCCAGAGGTGAATGGAGGCAACAAGAAAGCAGACCTATCTCTGGAGCAAATGAAGCAGTGAAGGCTTTAGTTTACTGCTGTTTTTGTGCTCTGATATCTCAGCATCTCTTCAAACCTTAGCACTACATCAGAAGTCATTGTCAAAGTGATCTGTTAATCACCGCTGTGTTACTTCAGGCCCAGCAAAACCACATATTCAATCCACATGCATTCTTGAACCTGCCAGATAGTAGTGTATTTCTTATGCACACTGTGTATTCTGGTGTGGAAGGTGGGTTGTTTGCTCCACCCATACTGCAGCAACCCTTCTCTGTGCTAGTCATGTTGCTCCTGACTGCTTATGCAATAAGGAAGTCAAGGTGATCACGTGGTTATATGTGTATGTTCTGTATTCCTATATGCAGTACTTACCACAAAAGTTGCTAGTGTCCTGCTTCCTACAATACATTCTGTGCCATTAATACCTAATGTCCCCTTAGCTGTTGATCACTGCACACAGAGCAGACTACTACTGTTGAGAATGAGGCAAAAATCAGTGTAATCTATTAGTACAATTTAAAACTGAGAGGCTGTTACAACAGAGAGAGCATCTTCCCAGGGGCTGGCTCCACATTCCCTGTATGCAATGCACAGAATAGAAGGCCTGGGTGTTTGAGCAGTTCAGAACTCACACACTTCTACTACTAATGTATTCCTGGCCCACTTCAGTACATATCTTTTGTCCTCCATTACATTGTCTTCATTAAAATCAGCCCTTTACACCGTTAGGGGATACCAAAGTACTTTTCATGATATTACTAATGTGCTATTAAAAGATTAAAAACTGTTTACATTCCTTACACAGTAAGAAGCTCCCGTGGAGAAAAAAAAGCAATTCAGGGGTGAAACCCAACTAGCTGGGTAGGTAAAACAGAAACCTTCAAAACACAGGCAAGTGACTTCATGCTTGGCATTACAGCTTTTACAAATTAGAACATGGTTCTTGTTTGATAGGTGGAAAATATTCATAGAGAAAAAGAAATTCAGATCTTTGTATTAGTATACTTAGCACTTTAATTTTAAAAGTTGCGGTTGTCTTTCCCAAACCACAACTTGAATGCAACTGCAAACAAGCTTCTGAGTTATCTAATGCTGGCTGGTACCTTTCAAAACAATAATCATACAGCTAGCCCAACAAAAACCATATTTAATCTGTTTAGCCTACAACATGTGTATTTTTGTTTCTTTCTTCCCTTTATATTTTTTACTTCTTCAGTAATATTGTCATAAAACTAGTAAACTAAATATTAATTGAAGTTCTTTCTTAAGGAACAGAAATCAGTATGAAAATTGTCCAATGAAAACCAAAAGGCCAAGAAACCCAACAAAGTGTTTCTAAGCCCTAAGTACTCTCCTAGCCAATACATCACAGTTAATATTATTTTTCATTTTCAGTTCCATTTTAGCAAGTGGAGATGGCAATATGTCACTGAAATTAATTTTTAACAAGAAATTAATCTCTATTAGCTCAAAAGAAGACCTAATAAGTCTGACAATTGGTTTAGTTCTTATCTTTTACAGCTATTCTCAGCAGCCAAATGATCCAGATCAATTCAGCTCATAGCTAAATACAACTAAAGGTTATAGCTGGGCATTTTCTTACCTTTAATCGTTATGATAGTACCAAATAAGCACTAGTAATAGCACGCAAGCCAAGTTATATTGAACTACCATATTTGCTTGATGACCCTGAATGTAAGCCAATCCCCCAATAATTACACCTACACACAAAAAATGTATTAACATTTTCAGTGTATGAAATCTAATTATTGGAAGGTAATCTTAAATTTGTCCGTCCCCTGCTTTCCCTTCCACTATTGCAGGTGGTTGGCAGCAAGGTGATGAGGGGGGCAGTAATGAGAAAGGTAGTGGGGGACAGATAGTGGAGAAGGTATGGGGGGGAAGGTAGAACAGGCAAGGGGAGCAGGTGGTAGGGGCAGGCAGTTTGTAGGTGGTGGAGCATGCAGTAAGAGAGACAGGCAGCTTGTCTCCCCCCCCGCCTTACCCTCCATTGTGCGTGTCCTCCCTCCCCACCACTTATTCTCCATTGTGCTTGTCTCTCCCCTGCCCCCCACCCCCCCGTAGCCTCAGGCTGTCCCAATTCCCCCTTCCCCTGTTCCCTTCTCCTCCCTCCTCCATGCCACTTCTGCAACAGGCAGCCTCAGGTCCCTGTCCCCCTTCCTCTCCCCCTGCCTCACACCCGAAGTCTCTCCTCCCATCTGCCCCACAGTTATTCCCCCCCTTTGCTCTGCACCACCAGACTTACGCCTGCTAAATGGAGCATGGCTCTGGCCCAGGCCTATGGAGCCGGCACTGGTGTTCCAGACTGGCCTCACAGGAGCAGTGGCAGGGTGCCGGCTCTGCCACTACAGGGCCAGGTTGGAGCCTGCCAGTGTGGAGCAAAGGTAAGGAGGAATGTGGCAGAGGAAGAGAGAATGGGGGAACGGGGGCCACAGGAGAGGTGTGGCAAGGCATGTAGAGGCAGGGGGGGAAGTGTGGCAGGCAGCAGCTGTGGCGCCAAGTTCCAGTTCCAGCTCCAGCCCCAACCCTAGGTTGAAGCTGGAGACACAGCAGCTGCCTGCCCCCCTACTTCCTCGTGCTCAATTGTAAGGTGAGGGGCTTCCTCCATACGATTCATAACTTCATAGAAGTTAGGGTCAGAAGGGACCTCAATAGACCATCAAGTCTGACCCCCTGCATAGGCAGGAAAGAGTGCTGGGTTCAGATGACCCCAGCCAGATGCCTATCTAACCTCCTCAGGGTAGGGGAGAGCACCACCACCATAACCTTCTCCCCAGGGTAGGGGAGAGCACCACCACCCTTGGAAGCCCATTCCAGATTTTGGCCACTCTAACCGTGAAGTTCTTCCTAATCTCCAGTCAAATCTGCTCTCTGCTATCTTATGGCCATTATTTCTTGTAACACCCAGGGGCGCCTTGGTGAGTAGAGCCTCATCAATTCCCTTCTGTGCCCCCGTGATGAATTTATAGGCAGCCAAAAGGTCACCTCTCAACCTTCTCTTGCAGAGGCTGAAGGGGTCCAGGTGCCCTAGTCTCTCCTCGTAGGGCTTGGCCTACAAGCCCTTAACCATACGAGTGGCCCTTCTCTGGACCCTCTCCAGGTTATCCATATCCCTCTTAAAGTGTGGCGCCCAAAACTGGACGCAGTACTCCAACTGCGGTCTGACCAGTGCCTGATAGAGGGGAAGTATCACCTCCTTGGTTTTGTTTGTCATGCATCTGCTGATGCATGATAAAGTGCCATTAGCTTTGCTGATGACTTCGTCACACTGACGACTCATGTTCATCTTGGAGTCCACTAGG